GTAAAAATGGTGCTGTTTTCATAGAAAGAAATGTGCTTAGATTCACCTATTTCCCAGTTGACCAAAACATGCAGCAACTTCATCACTGCTGTATTTCAAATGTGCCATGTTTTATCACAGAGATGTTCCCATCAGAGATATAGCAAAGATGAATGTCCGCCTCACATGAAATCAGAGACTCGTATCAGTGATGCAACATAAGACTTGAACAAGATATGCTCCTGTGAGATCACAGTGATGAATATGTCTCTACATAGCTCTTACCATGAAGCATGCCAGAGACGTTTTTGATAAGTCTGTGTTCTGCATTGGCTCCATCCCTAATTATCAATAAATTTATACTGGTTTCACCAGTAATTGTATCAATTTCGAATGCAACACCAAGATGTTTAGGATATGTTCATGGAATTTCAATTGTTGAAATTGAAAGAAAGAAGGAGTAAAAATGTGAACTTTATTCCAATCCATAGACAATTCAGCTCGCAATTTAGTCAACAAACCACAAAACATTTGTAAAATATGAATATGATACGTTTTTCTTCCACACTCCTGCATGTATTTCAGTCTGTGGGATTTTTACCTGCAGATTATATCTCTTCAAAGTGATGCATATAAAAGTGATGATTTATTTTCATGGGAGATCATTGTTTCGTTTTTACTGGTCCCTCCAGACATTTTTTTATCGAAATCTCCAGTCCAGCTGACTACAACTGGAACAAATAATATTTAAGTACAAAAAATTCATATAAAATAAGTATTCACCTGTCATTATCGTGAAAACCCTCATTTGATCTAACCAGAGCTGGTGTATGCCAGAAGAGAATCCAAAACTGTTCTCATCAGAATGTTGATCAATTTCAACTTGAGGTCTTGCTTGAGGTTGAACCTGATGCCTATACTTTTGTATGCTTCAGTCCCCATGAATAAAAGAGGCTGATGCCTGATGATGGTGATTTTGGTGACCAGAAAAAGTGAAGTTAGGAAATCACAGCAAAGAAAAGCATAGAACTTGCTATTACATTGTTCGTGGCAGTGGCGGATCTAGGCAGTTTTTCAGGGGGGGGCCATGGGCCGTGAGTTAATGGAATTTTGAAACCAAAGTAATTGAAACCACATGAATAATGAATGATATGTATATGAATATATATATATATATCTGTGTCCATAAAGTCACCCCCCCCCTGGTTAACTATTGAACGGATGGGATTTTTTTTTTCAATTTTTTTTTTGCTTCAATGGTAGTTTCAGTGCTATTTTTTTTTCAAAAAAAAAAAATATGTATCCTTCAAAATGGCGCCTGGGCGCCATTTTGGAAGATTTTTTTAAATGGAGTGGGGGGTCGAAAGATACCTCGATTGAAAGGTCTTTTGATTCTCTATACAACCTCAGAATCTCAGACAAAAATATTCATCCAAAACAAAATGGCGGATGATAACGTTTGAAATCTCACACCAAAATTCTTTCGACTGGATGGCTATTAAAGTGCTCGCATGTGATCTTCAAATCTTAATTGGCGTATAGAAGAGTTCTCTATCTATGAAGATATCAATAGAAAGCCATTTTGAAGAGAATAACATGATAGTCACCTGGAATGAACATTGTTCTTTATTTTGAATAAATATTTCCAAAATTTTGCAGAATTTGGAAAGATAATCGAGCAAAGGTATAATTGACTACCATGTTATTCTCTTCAAAATGGCTTCCTATTGATATCTTCATGGATAGAGAACTCTTCTTTACGCCAATAGAGATTTGAAGATCACATGCGAGCACTTCAATAGCCATCTAGTCGAAAGAATTCTGGTGTGAGATTTCAAACGTTATCATCCGCCATTTTGTTTTGGATGAATATTTTCGTCTGAGATTCTGAGGTTGTATAGAGAATCGAAAGACCTTTCAATCGAGGTATCTTTCGACCCCCCATTCCATTTAAAAAAATCTTCCAAAATGGCGCCCAGGCGCCATTTTGGAGGATACATATTTTTTTTTTGGAACAATATATAGCACTGACACTACCATTGAAGCAAAAAAAAATTGAAAAAAAAAATCCCATCCGTTCAATAGTTAACCAGGGGGGGGGTGACTTTATGGACACAGTGTATATAGCACAAAGCCCATGGTTTTAACTTCATCACTTTCGTTTAGGGTGAAACTTTGCACAGGGAATGGTTTTGGTATGAAAATGTTCAGGGACAGCAGAGAGTAGAAAAAACATCTGAAAAGACCAAAGTAATGTGTTTCAAATCTCCAGAAAAGAGATGCGGGTAGAGGATGGATATTACTTTTATTTGCCGTGGCGCTCCGTGGCCACTCACTGATTTTTGGTGGAGTATTCACTTTTCAGCTGCAGGAAAATCCGGAAAAACCTACAGCACCACCTCGGGTGGTCGGAGCTCACTCCAGGATAACATAAATGTGATGGATAAAAATGTGACTAAACAAACAAAAACACAAATCCACAATTTTACTGATAAGTAAACTTAATAATTAAACGCATAAAACATAAGCTTATTGAATTATGTTCATAAAACAAAATCTACATGCCTATGGCCACTGTTGGCAAATCTGTTGATAACTAAGTGAGTAAAATTTTATACACTGATTATCGGTTTTCAAAAATATATAAAAATCAATCTCGTTAATAATCTCACTGTTGCGTATGTACCAATGTACCTACTTACCATTTAATTTTTAGTATAATTTCAATTTCACTTATCACTTACTTCTTCTTTCTTTTTAAATGAAAAAATCATTGAACTGAATCTTACTGTTCTGAAGAACTAATGTGAAATGACCCTTTTCACCCTTTTATTTCAAAACCAATTGGTGTTTTTTGCGGTTTCGGATAAAAAACAACTATTTATTTCAGTTATTCCCTTTGTTTTTGATTCTTGCCGCTCACCGCCACCGGTCACCGCTTACCGCTAATTTGCATTTTACTGAAGCCCCGGCCTTGAAAATAATTATTTTTCCTCTATTGTTATCTGTTTTGTCGCCCTTTGATCTGACCGCCTGTGTCGTTTTCCCATATTCCCACTGCATACAAGAATATTTCTATATAATATTTGTATATGATAATGAATGAAATTCAAAAAAGAGTTGATTTGGCATGTTCGAGTGTTTGAGGAACCATTCAATACGAAAACTACGAATACGAATAATTTTGGTTTGTATAACGTAGCTTTGGTTGCATATCCAGACTGATTGTTGAACCAATATCAACTACTTATTCAGAGCTCTGGAGGGGGGGCCATGGCCCCCATGGCCCCCCCCTCAGATCCGCCAGTGGTTCGTGGTTGTTAAACCACAACTTTGAATTTCACCTATACCTAGGTACTCAAACTCTCACAATAACAGATCACAATTTATTATTAATACTTATTCTCATACAAGCACGATTTATATTCTAGATGCAATTTGCATCAGTACAGTTTCAGAACGTTGTGATACCACAAAGTTCTTTAATTGATCTAGATTGTGATGACGCCGAGGATGCCTCAATTTCATCACGTTGATAGACCGTATGATGAAACGATGTTCTTTGATTGATCCCTTTTGTGATGACGCCTGGGATGTCTCAATTTTAACACGTTGATAGAACGTGTGATGAAACGAAGTTCTTTAATTGATCCCTTTTGTGATGACGCCTGGGATGTCACAATTTTAACACGTTGATAGAACGTGTGATGAAACAAAGTTCTTTAATTGATCCATTTGTGATGACGCCTGGGATTCCTCCAATTTATCACATTGATAGAACATGTGATGAAACACTGATTTGTAGAAGTAACATGTTATATTTTGGATGCAAGTTGCATATGTTTCAGAACGTTGTGATGAAACAATAGTTATTTGTTTAACTAGGCAGCAAAGTAGTAGATTGACTGCCGAGGCTGAATTCATAGCCGAGCGTAGCGAGGCTAGGAATCCAGCTAAGGCAGTCAATCTACTTTGCTGCCGAGTTGAACATATAATTTTTTCTACGATTGTTCATAATGATATAGGAGGATATTGTAATTGCAAATTATTACAATTCCCACAATCTCTTTATTTTTCCTGTCGTGTTCAATTAAAATGAAATTTGATAAAAATCGCAGTCCATAATAATTATAGTTTGACAATTCATGAAAATTCTGACAGTTGTGCGAAAAAACATCGGTATATTCAAATTATTATATAATGGACAGTGATAGCGACCTGGAAGTACCTACACCTCCAGAAATAAGGGATGTGGCAAAAAATATAGAGTTGAATTTGTTGCCGGAGAACTCTCGAATGAAATATGAATAAAATTATAAACGATTTATGGATTATTAATTTTGCTGATACATATCAATCAGCAAAGTAACCACTTTGCTGCCTAGGCAGCCAAGTGCCCACTTTGCTGCCTAGGCAGGAAAAGTAATACTTTGCTGATTGATATGTGTCAGCAAAATTAATATTTGCTGCCAATCGGAGGAAAAGTTCTTTGACTGATCTCTCTTGTCGATCATAGCGCTGAGACATGTGTGGTTAACTGGGTTCACACGCTCCTGATAAAAATTTCGGAAAATTCTCAACATTTCGAAATCGGGCACGAAAAGAAAAATACCTACATGTACGAAATTTCGTTTTCTCAACACAGAGGGTTTCGGGAATATTTACAAAAAAACATCATCTTGGGCCTTCTTTCAGATGGCTATAACTCCTCAAGGGGGCATTTCTGGGCTCATGTTTATACGCACTTTTTTTACTATTTTTGTTCCTAGAATCTGTGTGGTTGAAATCTTTCTATGTGATTTCGGGACACCCTGTATAGGTATAACACCTCCGAAACACGTTTTAATCATCGACTACTGATTTGTTTATTCCCAATAATGATATATGACATCTATTAACTATCTAGATGTTGTATTATCTATCCATCACCTCTGAGATGAAATAAGAATCCGGTGTTCAATCTTTAAAACCGCTTCACGTCGCCAGTCATCCTTCTTCTGCCGGGTAAAAGACAAAGGCCACAGGCGGCTCATGTACCGAGGAAATTAAATCACCTGTGAAAGTATTAGGTACCTGCATTCCAAGTATTCCAACATCCAAGATGGCCGTGGTGTGCTGAAGAATGCGAGCACGGAGTAAATAACGTAGCACCGTAGCAGCAGGCATCATTGAAATTCACTGTTAGGTGCATTTTGTTTTGTGGCCCACAGACTGTTGAATAGTGTGAAAATAACTAATTTGTGAGTGTTGTCAAATGTTTGTGGGGTCGTGTCTACGTATGTTTCCAGAAAGTGTTAAATTATGATGGGAATAGGAAGTAGAGGAGAGAATATTTAAGAAGGTTAAGGTCATTTTTAATAATTAAATGACCTCTTCGTATACTCGTAGAGGATATTCGTATTTTTATAGATATTGGGGCGATGATCTTGTTGTTTTTGAGCAAATTTCAGTGCTCGATGTGTAAAAACGATATATGAATTTCTTCTACCATCTACATCAATTTCTAATATGAATGTCATCGAATCTTCAAATTCTAAAGGAAAATGTCGCATCGAGATTTTACCGAGGTGAGTTTAAACTTATATGTATCTCGTATTATGTACCAAACATACCTATCCCTATATACAGGGTGTTTCCTAACTACGGTTCCTAACTGCAGAGTGCAGGGGGTGATTAGTTAGGTCATTTTAAGAAGAAAAGTTCCTATGAATATTTGTCCTGAGTTGCTTCGTTTCTGAGATACAGGGCGTTGAAATTAAAGAAAAAAAAACGGTACCTACCTAATTATAATATTTCATGAATATCCTAGAACAGATTTGGTTGAAATTTGGTACTTTTATTTTTCAAATTTTCTAAGATTTCAGCATATCAAGTGTCAATTATATTTTTGGCGGAAAAAATGAAAAAGTCATTTCTCCAATGCAGGTGTTCATGATATGCAATACAGTGGCTTTAATTTTTTTTTCTCGAAAACGAAGCTGGATATGAAGAAAATAAAGGAGACAAAAAAGTTGTATTTTGAGTTGCTTGATTAAAAAAAAAAAAAATACCAAAAACAGTGGGTGCTGGCGTACTTTTTTTACAATATTGTTGGCTGTGGTGCCCACTGAGACGCCACTGGCCCCAATAATTTCAATCTAAATAGGGCTAAATATGCGCCTTATTAGGTCAAATAGAAGTACCAAATTTCAACCAAATCGGTTCCAGAATATTCATGATATTTTGTAATTACCGTTTTCTTCTTCAATTTCATCGCCCTGTATCTCAAAAACGAAGCAACTCCGGACATATGTTAATAGGAACTTTTCTTCCTAAAATGACCTAAAGAATCACCACCTGCAGTTAGGAACCGTAGTTAGGAAACTAGGAAACACTGAGGGAAACATATCTTTTACAGGGTGTCCGGAAATTATGCGCAAAAAACCAAGGGGGTGATTCTACATGATGAAATAAGAAATTCAGTTTACAATGGTTTACACATACGTGGGTCCGGAAATGCATAGTTTTCAACATACAGTGTGTTAAAACTTTTAAAAAAGATCGTTTTTTTATGAATATCCCATTTTATGAATGTCCTTCCACAGATTTTCTTGAAATTTATCAATGATATTTTTTGTCAGGAGCTGATATAGCCATAAATAAATTGGAGTTATGAAATCCAGTGGCGTCCCGGGGGCAACCTACCGAATATTATATTCAATAAAATGTACGCCACTGATTTTTTAAAATTTTTTATCTTGAAAACCTATTGATCAACTGAAAATACAACATTTAGGTCTCTTGAATTGTTTTGATAATTTGCTTCATTTCTATGGAAACAAATAAATACCAATTTATTGCATGCATTTGTGTCAAAAATTCCTTCAAAAACTGGGGTGGAAATAGATGCGTGAACAATGTCCATAGACATAGAATAAGTATGAAGATTCATTTTCTTCAAATATTTTTTGATACATGTTTAACACACTCTACACTCTGTATATTGTGAGAACTATGTATTCTCGGTCCAGGAAGGTTTAATTTTCGATAATACAAAGTGTGTCAAACATGTATTATGAAATATTTGAGGAAAATTGATCTTCATTGAATCAGCCCCTCACGACAAGGAATATCATAATATCATTGCCAAATTTCAAGAAAATCGGTGGAAGTGGAAGGATATTTGAGATATTCCGAGAGATATTCATTGTAGAGTTTGTGTCGGTATAACCTCACACAATCCTACTCGTATTGTTATAATAAAAACCAGCACTTCAACTGATGTTCACTTTATTTAGCGGCAAATTTATCTGAACTGGATAACATTTAAAACAAGACTACAAGCAAGAATAATATCATTTTCTACTGATGATTTGAGCAAACTCGTGATGAGCGTCGACAACCTACGCGGGAAATTCTAAGACACTGACATCTGATCTGATTGACATGACAAGTACAACTGACAGAAATAATATAAGACAAATGACAGTAATATGACCTACAGTGTTGCCATATGATTATGTAGAGTTGCCACTACATCACTCCCCCCCTTTGAATTTCAGCAGGAAATTTAAATTTTACAAGATTATTCTAAAATCGTAGCTTAAACAAATAGGAACAAAAAAAAAATTGATTTTGTAGATAGAAAATAGCACACCTAAATACTAAAATGCAGAACACAAACACTGGGGAACACTAATCTGGAGTGAATCTTTCTGGGAAGTGAACACGTCTGCCAGATCTAGTTGATTGTGTTCTAGTTAAAGGTGGTGTTGACTGCTGGATTATGGACTGCTTCAAGGGTTGTGTAGACTGCATTGATGACTGTGTTGAACTTAGGTCCTCATCATGTTCTTGATGGATCTGCTGTCCTTTAGGTATGTGTTGGAAATCACCCAATACATAAGCAGGTTTAATTCTATCTATAGATACTGTGGTAGGCTTACCTCGAATATCTATGACAAATTGCTTATTTCTCCTCTCTATCACTAGAAATGGACCTTCATATGGAGGTTGGAGTGAAGAATGTGGTATGTCAACCCGTATGAACACATGAGATGCTGTTGCCAGGTCTTTATATACAAAAACAGTTTCTTTGTTATGTCGAGAGCCAGGCACTGGTTGTAATTTATTAAAGTATCTTCGAAGCTGAGTAACATATGTTACAGGATCAATATTGTTGCTTTGAGGTGATAAAAACTCTCCAGGTAGTCTAATGGGCTGACCATAAACCATTTCAGCAGGAGTTGCTTTTAAATCATCTTTATAAGCGCCAAGTATTCCCATGATAATAGTTGGCAATACTTCCACCCAATTATCGTTCTCATGGCATCTAATTGCTGCTTTCAAATTACGATGCAGCCTTTCCACTAAGCCATTAGCTTGAGGATGATAAGCAGTAGTTCTGATGTGATGAATTCCACATAAATTAGATAGGGCTCTGAAAAGTTCTGATTCAAATTGACGTCCCTGGTCTGAAGTGATACGGAGAGGAACACCATGTCTGCAGATCCAAAAATTGTACAAAGTCTTTGAAATGACCTCTGCTGTAATATCAGATACTGGATATGCTTCAGGAAGGCGTGAGAATCTGTCAACTACGGTTAGACAATACCTATATCCATTTGATGAAGGAAGAGGTCCAACAATATCGATATGTATATGCTCAAACTTTGCACTTGGCAGTTGAAACTTTCCAAGAGGAGATTTTACATGTCTTGAAATTTTTGATCTTTGGCAGGGAATGCATGATTTTGACCAATTTCTACAGTCTTTGTTAATAGCAGGCCAGACATATCTTTCACGAACTAGTTTAGCTGATGCTCGAATACCAGGATGAGATAAATTGTGCAGTACATCAAAAATTTGTTTTCGATATGGTGTAGTCACAAATGGTCTTGGATTTGGCATGGAAGTATCACAAAAGAGACTTACTTCGGTTCCAGGAATGTTTATCTTCTGTAACTTCAAGGCTGTACCTTTGGTTAACAAATTATGCAGTTCTTCATCATTGTCTTGTGACTCAGCTAAAGCAGTGAAGTTGACAGCTTCTTCAGTGGCCTCAATACGGGACAAGAAATCTGCTACCACATTATCCCTTCCAGAAACATGCTGTATATTTGTAGAAAATTGTCCAATATAATCAAGATATCTAAACTGCCGAGGAGATGCTTTTTCAGGTTTTTGATTAAAAGCAAAGATAAGAGGCTTATGGTCAGTAAATATCACAAAGTCTCTGCCTTCCAACTGATAACGAAAATATTTGATAGCAGAATAGATAGCCAACAATTCTCTATCAAATGCACTATATTTTCGCTGTGAGGGACTAAGTTTCTTGCTATATAGTGCCAAGGGTTGCCAACCTTTTTCAGTATGTTGCTGCAGTGCTGCTCCCATTGCAACATCAGAGGCATCAGTATACAGGCCAAGTAAATACGAAGAATCTGGATGTGCCAGTACAGTTGCCTGAGCCAAACTATTCTTGCATGCTATAAAAGCATTTTGCAGCTCCTGGGTCCAAATAATTTCTTGATTGCCTTTTACTTTGCCCTCAAGCAATTTATTGAGGGGAGCTTGTAAGGTGGCAGCTTCTAACAAGAATCTTCTGAAAAAGTTCAACATGCCAAGAAACTTACGTAACTGTTTGATAGTTTTAGGCTGTGAGAACTCCATAATGTCCTTAACTTTCTGTGGGGTAGGCTGTATACCTTCTTCTGACACAAGGAATCCAAGAAATTCTACCTGTTTAGTACCAAAAACACACTTGGATACATTTATAAGAACACAATATTCTTTGAGTCTCTCAAAAAGTATGTGCAGATGCTGAATGTGTTGTTCTTCTGATTCTGATGCCACCAAAATATCGTCTATGTACACAAAACAGAAGTCTAATCCCCTTACAACTTCATCCATAAAACGTTGGAAGGTCTGAGCTGCATTACGTAGACCAAATGTCATATAGGCAAACTCAAACAACCCAAATGGTGTGGTTATAGCAGTTTTTGGGATATCCTCTTCAGCAACTTTAATTTGATTAAAAGCTCTGACTAGGTCAATTTTTGAAAACACTTTTTGACCAGCCAGATTCTGTGAAAAATCCTGGATATGTCTAACAGGGTAACAATCTGGGACAGTCCTAGCATTGAGAGGGCGGTAATCCCCGCAGGGGCGCCACTCACCATTTTTCTTGCTGACTAAATGCAAGGGAGATGACCAACAACTATCAGATGGTCTGGCAATACCTAGTTTCACCATTGCATCAAATTCATGTTTAGCAGCTTTTAATTTATCACTAGCTAAACGGCGAGGTTTACATGAAACAGGTGGTCCAGGGGTTGTACGAATATGATGGACAGTATTATGCTTTGATACACGTGGAATACCTTCAGGTCTTGTGATTTCAGGAAATTCACTGAGAAGTGTGTGATAAACAGAGTCACCACTAATTGCCTTGACATTTGGTTGTAAGTCTGTGCACTTTTGAGCAGAAACATTCAAGCTAGTAATGGAGTCCAAGAGTCTTTGTTCACGAATGTCCACAAGTAAACCAAAATGTGCAAGAAAGTCTACACCAACAATAGGTTTAGTA